AGAATTTTTAATATTTATTTTCTAGTTCTCGGCGGACACAACATCTTTGTTGGTATGTGGTGCTGAGGATCGAACCCGGGTCGCACGCATGCCAGGCGAGCGCGCTACCGCTTGAGCCACATCCCCAGCCCCAACCATTGATATTCTTAAAAAAAAAAAGTAATTAGAACTAAGAGTCAGTTGGTATAGAATATATTTTTTCTTAACAGAAACTCTTAAAATCCATAGCTCCTTGTTGATGATGAAAGTAACTTACTTGGTTTAATTTTATAATACATGAATATAATTGCTAGATGAAAAGGAAGTTCTTCCAGCATTCTAGAAGACCACTGTTTATTATTACTAGTTATTGAACCTAAATGAGATAGAGACACCACTGACTACAATTGAACCTGACCTTTTTAAATATTAAGTTTGCATTCAACTCTTSAGTTGGAAGAGTAGGCCATAATTTCATAGGAATTTCCTGCAAAACACAGATGGGTTATTCTCATTATAGATCTTATCTCTTCTAACTCCTAATTTCTTTTCCTTGTGTTATTCCAGTGCCTAACTTCTCTAGCAAACTGTTTAATACAAACTGGGTTAGCAGACATTCTGATATTAGTGGGAAGGCTTCTAAAGTTTATATTTAAATATGATTATTCATTCTAGGTTTTTGTTATATTTTCTTTATTAGTTAAAAAAAATTCTATTTTGTTTAAAAGGCCTTTTATTTTTAATTACAAAACCTTATCAATATTTTTAAGTTACATCTATTAAACAGCCATGCAGTTTTTCTCCCTTTAATCTTCTAATACTTATTTATTTATTTATTTTTAAAACTSGATTTATTCATTCATTTATTTATTTTTATGTGGTGCTGAGGATCGAACCCAGGGCCTTGCATGTGCAAGGCGGGAGCTCTATTGCTGAGCCACAACCCCAGTCCCCTTCTAATACTTTAATATGGAGAATTATACAAATATACACTGGAAAAAATTTTTCATTCACTTAGGATATTTTCATCTGTGTTCTCTGGGACTATAATTTCTCTTAAAATTTTCTAGATTACCCATGTCCATATTTCATATTAGTCTCATAAAATAAATTGCCTAGATATCTCTTTTTTATTTTCTAAAATAGGTTATAATATTGGGGTAACCTATTTTATATGGTATGGTAAGACTTTCCTGTACACTTTCTAGGCATAAGTGTCTTAGTAGGGAAAAGAAGGGGAAAGAAGGATTTTTGATCACTATTTCAGTTTCTTGAATGAATATAGGCTATGTGAATTTTCTTGATTTTATTTTGGTTAATATTTTTCTAGAAAATTATTCTTTTTCAAATTTTTGCCTAACTGTTGCATTTACTGTCCTAAAGTCATGCATGGCATTTTCTGAGAGTCGGCATAACATAGTTAAGGACACAAAGAGTAAGACATCATGGGTTTGAACACTGCATATTGTCTTTACTTTTTCTCTTTTCTTCTCAGTCTTGCTAGATGCCATTTATTTTACTAGTTTTAAAATTAAATTTTTAAGAATCAGCATTTGGAATTGTTGGTTGCTTCCTATTTCATTAATTTCTTCTTTTGATTTCCTTTTTTCACTTTCCTCAAGCTGTCTGTATTGTTATTTAATTTTCTCCAAGTTCAAAGTTTGATTTTTTAATGTATTTTTCACATTTAAGTGGTTTTAAGGCTGTAAATTTAGTTCTACCCCTTTAACTATAGCTTGTATATTTTAGTATACAGTACATTAATATCTTTGAGTCCTAAATATTTTATAACTTCTATTATAATTTCCTTTTTAATTCATTAATTATTAAGGAGTATGTTTAAAAGATTCCCTCAATTTAAAAAATTCCCACCAGACAACAACACACCAAGGAAAGCAAACTTCTGGCCAATATAATTGATAAATATAAAAATCTTAATAAAATATTGGCAAACCACACAGAAAAACACATTAAAGGATACTGCACCAAGATCAAGTGGTTCTCATACCAGTCATGCAAGGTTGGTTCAACATATGCAAAYCAATAAATATAATTTACCACATAGAGTTATGGACAAGAATCACATGATTATCTCAACAGACACAGAAAAAACATKTGACAAAGCCTAACACCCATTATCTTTAAAACACTACAGAAGCTAAAGATAGAAGGAACTTACTTTAACATTATATTGGTTATATATGACAAACCCAAGGCCAACATCATACTGAACAGAGAAAAACTTAAAGTATTTCCTCTAAAAACAGGACCAAGAGAAGGATGCCCACTCTCACCACTCATATTCAACATATTCCTTGAAACTTCAGCCAATCAGGCAAGAGAAGGAAATTAAAGAAATACAAATAGGAAAGAACTTAGGAATAAAACCAGAGACCATGCGTCTAATAGAAGAAAAAGTAGGCC